GCTAGTGTAGTGTTGGGCCAAACAAAGGCGAGAGCAGGCAATGCAATTCAATGCAAAAAGGTGACGAGAGTAAACAATGCAAGTCGATGCAAAACAACGACGAGAGCAAGTGGCCTTTTGGAAACATAGTCTCATAAACTTTTCCGACCTCAGATCTGAGGTCGGTGAGCTCAGATCTTAGGTTGAAGAGTCTAGGTCTCTGATACCATATTAGGAACGCATAATACTGCAAAGAAATCTCTTTTTATTTATTAATTAAGAATATATAAGACCTCGTATAAATATACGGCCAGTAACAATTAAAGATAAATACCAACAGTTATGGATAATTACTAACTAATCTTATCATAATTAAGAGACACTTAGTTAAGAGATATATACCCATACAAATACATATCCGCATTGATATGTATTCATAATGATGTATATCAATACTAACAAGATATCCATATGCTAATAAGAAAAATACGACCACATGCTAGGAAAGGAATGAAGTTATGAAACCATTATGGTTGGCATTGGATTCTCACATGGTAAAGCCTGTAATAGACTTGTTTGTGTTAATGTTATCAAACTTGCTTTGAAGCCTTTTTCATTTTGGGTGCTTTGGCTTTTTGGGTGATTTAGGGGAAGTTGTACGACATATTTAAAAAATTAAAATTAAAATTTGAAATACTAGAAAGATAAAGCTAGAAGAAATTATTTTTAGAAAATGGAAATATACACAATACGACTATTTATTTTTGATATAAAAAGGTCACGAACATCATTGATCATTGAAATCTGGTGGTTGAGGATGTGTTGTGTGGGTACAAAGTTCAAAATAAAAAATTTCAAATGTTATATTTAAAATTGACAAAATTTATGGTATAGTATACAATCTATAAAGAAAATCATCACTTCCAAATAAACTTTAATGAGTTTAATGCTTAAAATTCTAAATATTTTTTAAATTTAGAAGTCTAGATTTTAATACATAAAATATTTTTATTAGTTGAGAGAGAGAGATAGTGCAGTTTCATCCATGAGCTACGGTTTTATGGTTTCTTCTCTTTCAATATTTTTTTCCCTTTTGATTTATTTTATAAAGAAAGTTGGCCTATAATTGCCATGTATATACCCACGGCATATCAATTTATAGACCCAAAAAGGGTGCCATGCACAACACGTCCGGGCATCCCATGTCAATGAATATAGACTCTATTTGTTAATAAATATAAGGAATAATTACGTATGGATAGGGTTTCATTGTGTTTATTACGGTATAGCCATATATTTACCAATATTACATTGCCCACTCTTAACCATGGCCTTTTTTTTTATTTTTTTTTCTAGAATTGCACTTCCAACACTGGACATGTGAAAAATCCTACAAGTTCTCAGCATCTCTAGAAGTAGGGGCCTGTTTTTTCTACAATATTTGAGATTGGTTCACTTTTTACTTCTCGAAATAAAGTTTTTTTGTTGCTCTCAAGGTTTTCTTTCCAATAACATATAGCAATGTGAAATACGGTGATTGATGAACAATGTTGTTGAGTGACAAGAGTGGGTTTAGAAGGAAAAAAGAGTGATAGTTAAAAAAATAAATAATCAGTGAGGGATTTGTCCATGTATATAGAGAGATATGTATCTCCTATAATATAATATTATTAATTTTGTTGCTGAGAGGCTGCAGACATAACCATTTTGAGGTAAACCACGTAAAACCTTTTGTTACTTTGATTAGTACAAAATCTTGGGTGAGGTCCTAGTAAATGTCGTTCTTAGTTATGCAAATAAAGGGTCGTTGAGAATCCTACAATTGCTATAGATGCGTGCATTGGCTAAGGCTTATATTTAACCAAAATCCTTCTTTTTTATTTTATTTTTTAGGAAGTATACAATAAGTCTTTGGTATAAAGACGTCACGATCATCGTTAGTCATTAGATGTGCAATCATGTGCCTAGGGGTGTGATTGATCTCAAAATAATTATTGGACTTTGTGATACACCCTAAGTTTTTGATTTTCACATCCAAAAGCTGAGGGTGCCCTTATTATGACTGATATTATTATATACAATTCCTTTTTTCTTCAAAAATACCTCAAAATCATTACTTTAAAATTCATTCACAAATTAAAAAAAAAAAAAACTTTTGCCTGAAAGAGCAAGGCATGTTTGAACAAGTAATACTGTATCACTTTTCGTCTTTGACGAGGGTGAAGTGCTACAGGGGACGAAGTTCTATTTTCCTATTTTCCACTCGAATAGGGAAAGTTTGGCTTCCGACCAAAACCCAAAACTTTGATAACTAAAAGATACTTACTAGAAGATCGAACTTACGTGTTCCAGTAGCAGTTTTTGTTTCGTGTTTGAAGAAAACAAGGTTAGTTAAAAAGGTAACTTACTGTTACCTCTTTTTAGGCTTAAAAAAAATCCTATATAAAAACACGTAACTTGAAAAAGGAACCTCGCTGAATGGTAACACCCCCGACTGCCATCGCGAAAAAGAAAGTATTTGCTTGTCCTGACTGCCTTAACCACAGAGGAGAGACCATCTGGTGCCTGCGAGCCTCCTCACAAAGGTATATCTCAGAGGGTATTTGCTGGCTCTCTCACTATGTTTTCTTTTGGTGGGTCCGTCAAAATTTTCTTTTTCATCAATGGGTTCTTAAGGCTTTGATTAATGAAGTTGGTGCTTAAATCGAACATGGAAAATGTAGTAATTTAGTCAGCAGTTAGAAATACACAGGAAATTGTGATCGATTTGCTTATTAGTTCGAAATATCCCAGAGTCTATTGCAAAATTCCTTCCTTTTTTTTCTTTTCTTCTTTGTACATGTCCCCTTTGTTTCAAATTTTTGTGCTGTCTTCTTTTATTACTGGTATATGTTTCCTCTGTTTCAATAACTCCAACTCCTAATGTTGATTTTGCTCTTGTTTTCTGCTTTATGGTCTCCCCGTTTTCCTCTTCTTCATCATATTGGGGTTCTTAAAATTTATTATGCTGCAAGGGAAGCATAGAAAGTTTGTCCATAAAAATAGGGAGAGAGTAGGATGTCGATAAATATTTTTTTGAGAGATAAGTGTAATTTATTTATATTTGGGAAAAATTTATATAGAGCCGAGGCTCTAAACAATCAAATTAAAGCTTACGTAAAAAATTTCATTAAAAGAAGTTGTTTTGATTGCCAAATAACCTCAAAATTATCATCTGGACATCAAGATCCATGGATAGGAAGAAAAACTGATTTCAAGTTTTGAAAATAGTGCATCTTGTAACGTATTTTTTAATCGTCAATTTCCAAGATTTTCAATTTTTCATAGATCTACTTGATCTACACGATTTTTTAAGCTTTAAATTTTATAATTAAAGATGAAAATACATTTTAGGAAAAATTATAAAAAATCCCCCATAATATACTTTTTATACAACTTACCCCCCAACTAACTTTCTCTCTCACTTTTTCTCTCACTTTTTTTTTTAGCTAACTTTCTCTCTCACTTTTTATTTTTCAAAAAACAAACTTTTTATGCAAAATCCCCTCAAGGTAAAAAGTTCATTTTTTAAGGTAACAATAGGTAAAGTAAGGGTAGTTTTGCCATTTTTTAATTTTTGGGATGGTTAAGTTTTTTTTAAAAAAAAAGTGAGAGAGAAAGTTAGCTGCGGTAAGTTGTACAAACAATATACCTTGGGTTTTTTTTTTTTTTGTAATTTCCCTACATTTTAAGACTATCACAATAAACTACATTTCTCGACACTATTTGAAGGTAGGCATTGTTTAGAGCCTCGGCCCTATACAAACGACACCTTTTATATTTTTGAGCTTATCATAAACCCCTATTATTATAAAATTTAGAGAAATTATTGCTAATATACCTAAATTTTAATAAAATCACAAAAAAAAACCCAACTTTTCAAAACCTCACCCACACTCTTTTTCCCATTTTTTGGTTTTTTTTGGATGAAAATACCTTTTACGGTAGTCTTTCTACTGTAATACACTTTGATCTTTACGGTAATTTAAGTATCGTTACAAATTGATATAGTGTTACGGTATATAAAATACCGTAAAATGAATATTGGTTATTTCGGTACTTCGAAGTATCGTAATAACTAATCTTATCTTTACATTATTCTTAATACCGTAATTGTTTGAATTATTACAGTAATTAAATTAAAACTGAAGCTAATATCAGGGTTACCACTCTAATTTTCTTTTGAAAATTTTACGTCACCTTTCTCATTGTTTCCTTTCCTCTCAACCATGTCTGATGCACCTTCAATCTTAAATCTTGATGACAAGAGATATACATGGTTTTTGCTTAAAATTTCTCCATATTTGGATGATAGTATTTCGTTGCACAAGGTTTTGTTCGGGTTTTCCTATTGCAAGGTTTATTTAGCAAGAAACCTGATTTTATTTGGATTAGTGAGATCTTTTGTAATTTGAACTTTTTTTTCTAAACTTTTGTAATTTGTAGATAATTATGAGGAGCATAAGGAGGAGAGAGGTAACTTTGATATTAGCTTCGGTTTGAAGTTTTTCAACATATTACAGTAATAAGAATACCGTAAGGACTTCACCACACATTACAGTAATTTAATTATCATAATAATTCAAACAATTATGATAAAAAAGAAGATTAGTTATTACGGTACTTGACGTACTTTAATATAACTTCATACTATTATGGTATTTTATATACCGTAATACTATCTCAATTTGTAACAATATTTAAATTACCGTAAAGATTAAAATGTGTTATGGTAGAAAGACTACCGTAAAAGATATTTTTGTAAAAAAAAAATTGAAATTGGAAAAAAAAAGTGTGGACGAGGTTTTGAAAAGTTGGAGTATTTTATGACTTTATTAAAATTTAGACATATTAAAGATAATTTTCTTAAAATTTATTTTATTTTATAAATTATAAATTTCTTCTCAATCGATTGGAGCTGATCCAGATCCAATCCATATACCCGATCCAAAGATCCCATACGGACATGTGGGTGAACGATAGGCCCAGTGATCTGAATTTTGAGACACTTGTATAATCCGACATGCGACACTTCGACCTTCCCAAGTTCCGGTTCCATTCCCGATCCATGGCTCCTCGAAGAACCCGCACCCGTGAGCACCGCTCGTATTCACCCACCGCCCATTATACGTCTGTTTGCTTGAACTCGACCCTGTGAAAATGCTCTAAAAGCCCTCTGATGTCAATGGCGTTTGAAAGTTTTCGTATATAATCTCTCTCTCTCTAAAAATGGCCTCTTCCTTTGGACAACTCTTAAGAACTGCAAAACCCTTCTCACGGTGCACACTCCCATTTTCTCTCACTTCTCTGGTGCTGCACCGTGGACCTGCCTTTAGTGCAGCTGCCCTTTCCGAAGAAGAGGAGAAGAAGGAGGAGAAGAGCGATGATAAGATATATATGCATGCACCAGTGTTCAGTGACTCGTCAGTGACCATGCCGGTCTCCTTCATGACTGGATCCATCATCGGGAAGAGGTTTTACAAGGAGGTTTTCACCAGAGAGGCAGATGATGGCAATGGATGGACGGTTCTGCTTGACTACAGAACCCTAAAGAGTCCATCTAAGAGACCCATCAAGCTCCCAACTCTCTCTCTAGCAAAGGCCATTGCTGCTGAATGGGAATACCAGGTTCGTCTCTCTCTCTTGAAAATTTTAATCTGGGTATGACTCTGGTTCAATGTATTAGTGGAGTAATTTTTGATGAAATGGGGTTTACTCTCTCACTCTCCCTCAAATTTAAATCTGGTTATGCCTTTTGTTCAATCTATATGTTGAGTACTACGCTAGTTGAAATGGGTTTTATACTCTCTATATCTCTCTCTCTCCCTCTCTCTCTTTCCAACTTGAATCTGGGGGTTGCCTCTAGTTCAATCTTTGTGTTGTGTATTACTCTAGATTAAGTAGGCTTCATTATCTATCTCTCTTCCCTTTAAATTTGTATTTGGTTGTGCTTCTGATTCAATCTGCGTGGAGTGACACGCCGTGTTAAATGGATTTTGCTAACATTTTTGTCCTATTTTTTGGGGTTCTTGGATTTTTTGGGGTTTTCTCTATTACTTGATTAGCAAACAGATGGAATAAGACCCTTTACGATGCCTCTCATGCGACTTGCTTGTACTGCATTGGAGAGGGTGCCTCTCACTCGGACTAAGGTTATTGAACAGTTGATGAAGAAGTTTAATCAAGATTTGATATTTTGTCGTGCACCCGGTGACAGTGACTTGACCAATGGAGTTCTTGGTATGGTTTTCTCTCCCAATTCTTGTAGCACATACGCTGTGAATTATCTTAGGGCATGCAGGTCCAGAAAGTTTGGTGCTATTGAATTTCACATGGGCACGTGGCTCTTATTATGCTTGATGTAGTTGATAGGTGGTATTTCTTTGTTTTGTTTTGGTCATAGGTTTGTATACAAGGTGCATTGATATTTGCTACAATACTTTAACATCATCTGAGTTGACAATTGTTGACATCTGATGGCTGGGTGATGTTGAAGTACTCCATTGAATAGATTTCTTTTTCTATTTTTTCTGATTTGTAGTTCTCATCGTAGTTCAGGTCAAATTATATGTTCTTATGCCTATTGATGTTTTTCATTAGTTTTCTTATTCAAAGCTTTTGTTCTTTTAATGTATTGATCAAAGAATAGTCATGGTGTTAGTCCTTTTGTTGTTGTAACATAGTTCATGTTACAAAATTTTCTCATTGATTACCCAAGAAGGTTTGATTAGGTTTTCAATGTTGTGTTGGAACATTTCTACTATCTGTATAGAAAGAGGAAAGGAGATCCTTTGTGTCAGAGGCTTAAAGTAGATGGTTGAGCTTAAAGAATTATAATCAGGTACAACTTCGGGCAATATGGTTCTCCCCAAGTTCTGTGGGGAAAGATGACTTTTTAATTTTATACAAAGTCATATAAGACCTTGGGAAAGACCAAAATACAGTTATGGGTACTGATGTTGCATGCATACCCATTTGCACAATGTAAGAGCATCCGTCAATTGTCGACCATTTACTAGGTTACCATCCATTATTATTAATTAGTGATAGTTTTTCAAGTAAGAACTGGTGGTGACTATGTTCATCCCGTAGTGAGGACTGAGGAGATCTACACGGAAGGCTATCAGTGGGATCTGTTGCCAGGTTCTGCTCAGGGGGCCACTATGCGGGCCGTCACTTCCTATGCGGGTAATAAATATAAAAATTTCCAAAAAAATATAAATCTTATAAAAGTAGAAAGAATAAGATGAATATCTATTCTACAATATTAAGCCAAATTTAATGGCGACACATGGCATTCAATTTGAATAGGACCCTCCCGAGAGAGAGAGAGAGGGAGAGAAAGAGGGAGAGAGAGAGAGAGAGGAACTGTCGT